TGCCCCCCCCTGTCGGATAGTCTGCCTCTGCCCAAAGCGTTCCTGATTCAGCCGCTGCTGAAACTGACCAGCAGCGGCTGAATCGGAGACGCCTGGGGCAGAGCTTGACTATCGGAAGGGGGGGCTATGAGGGATTTGGGGTGGCATCTCCCTCCACCCCACCCTAGACCCCTCAGAGCCCCCCCTGCCGATAGTCCAGCACAGCTGATAATCTGGCACCCCCTGGGTCCTAAAGGTGCCAGATTATTGGAAGTTTACTGTAGTTTTGGACCGCTCGAGTTCCCCTGAGTGTGATCTGCCAGAGAGGGGAAAATGGGTCCTTTCTTCTTTTTTGCTTCTCCTAGGTGTCTAAAGAAGAGCTAGAAGGTCGTTTTCTTCTTGGGTTTTCAGAGTTTCTTTCCTGCTTGTTGTTACATTGGAAATATAGTTTCATATGTAAGGTTGCTTTGTGCTCCAAATGTATATGTGCTCTGTACAAAACACTGCATAGGATCTGGGACAATAAATCAGGAATCTACACCCGAGCTTTCAAGAGTTACGTGAATTAGCCCATCAACTCCAAGGACCACATTTTGCCCAACAAATGCAAAGAACTCTCCTATTACCCTTTGCAAAAAATGTAGATCTACTATAGTGCATTACCAGGAGATGTAGCCATGCCAGGTGCCTCTTATTAAAAAGCAAATCAATCACATATTTGCAGGTGGCTGCTTTTCCTGGGTAAACACAGAGAACCTGTAACAGCAAAGCACAAGAAAGGTTTGTTCTGATAACAGAGACTCGGAGGGCTGCTAGTTTTCACCACCAGTCTGGTTCACACACTCATTCTGCACACGTGCAAAAGGTAGCTTGGGTTTTCTCATCGTTTCCTGTTCGGCAGCTCAAGGGTCTAATCTCACAAACTGCACAGTCCAACCCGCGATCTCCAAAGGATCGGGTGTGTCTTTCATCCAGTTGTATTGCTACTGCCATGGTTCATCATCGTAGGAATATAAGAAACGTTGTAGTTCAGGCTTTGGTCATCTTTCAAGAAGCATTAAAATACCCTCTGGGGCTCTATATGACAACCCAGAAGAGATGCTACTATAACTCGCTGGTGAGTAAATGTTAAAGGCGTCTCTATGTCCCATTCACAGAGGGCAGGATTCTGTTACAACCCAAGCTAAAAATGACTGATTCTTTCATTTTTCCAACAACAGCTCTTGCTTTTAGCTATGGAGGTTCCGGTTCCATCCCTCGTGTGTCTCTTAAGAAGGCAGTACAGGTTGGACCTCCCTGGTCCGGCGTCCTCAGGAGTTTGCCGGACCAGGGGGGTCAATTCCAGCCTCTCTGCTCCTGGCCAGAATCCCTTCCTGGCCGCTAACCCTTCCTTGGCCACTGTGGGCAGACAGGACACTGGGCTAAATGGACGTTTGGTTTCACCCAGTATGGCTGGACTTATGTAACCCCACTGCCAGTTCCAACCACTAGGCTCCCTGCCCCTGGGCTGCTGGCCTGGCTCTGCAGTCAGCCCTGTGTGGGCTCCTGGCCTCCAGCCCCCTGGCTGCCAGATAGGCTCTGCTCCTGTCCCCAGATGCTGGTCCCTTTGCTGTTAGACCCCCAGCTGCCCCCCCTCCCAGCTGTTCCCAGGACTCTCTGGTCCAGGGGCTCTCGGACCGGTGATATTTAACCTGTATCACTTTATCACAAGGCCATGGGCTTGATTCAGCATAGCAAGGGTACGTCTATACAGCGGAGCTATTTCGGGATACCGGAAACACCCCGAAATACCTATCTCATGTCTTGTGACTGCACCCACTATTTTGAGACCTATTTCAGCATATCTGTAACTCTCATTGCACAGGGGTTAAGGGCTGTCTCGAAATAGCGCATTATTTCCAAATTTGACACTGTGGAGACGCGCCACATTTTGAAACCCGCTGTTTCGAAATTCAATCAAAATAAGATGGCAATTACTTTGCGCTTAGGGGGCTGTGTAGATGCACCCCAAATGAGCGGATTTCCCCCGGCTTGGAACTGAAGGAAGGTAGTGATGAATTAAGCCTCCAACCTGCCCCAGATCTAACAGTTGGACAAAGAACATTGACCAGCTGACTGTGCAGAAGCCTCGAATCACAGAAATCACAGGTCCCAAGCCAGCGAATCCTTATGCAGAAGTTTAACTGACGCCACGTGAACAGCCGCATTGAACTCAGAGAGTCTATTCGCAGCGGTAAAGGATATTTGAATGGTTCTTGAAAGGGGACCAAAGACTGAACTACGTCATGTCTTATATTCCTACGATGATAAAGATAAACATTCTTGCAGGATCGGGGTCCTAGCCACTTCAGGCTCTGCTATTCTTTAGCACTCAATAGCCCTCCAGGGAAAAAAAACCAAATACTTCTGAGCACTTCATGGTGCTTTGAAAGGGACAAAAATGGCTGGTATGTACCCACTTCTGCTGCTAGATTCTGTCTGGGGAGAGATTGAAACGCTTGGGACTGTTTAGTTTTGATAACAGGCAGAGACTTGGTAGCATGTTACGTACAATAACGAGAAATCAAATCGAACAATGGAATAATCACACGAATACATTTTCGACCGTCCTAGAACAAAAGGCAACCCAGTTAAATTATACAGAAGTGTAGTACTTTTTTTTTTTTTTAACACAGCACGGTTAGCTCTCTGACCCTGATATTATGGAGGCAAAATTTGTAGTGATTTCAAGTGAGTAACCGAATCACAAGAGCATACGCTCCCAGGGAAATTCCAAATGGGAACTGTTTGGTTTTTTCCTGAAGCAGGAAGAGGAATCAAACCACCCGCATTTTTCATGGAATAGGCATTTCTGAAAACATTCAGTTCCGAGATATCAAAATGCTTCCTTCTGAAGCTGTTCAGTATGAAACGGCACCGGCCGAGTTTGCCCCAGTGCCTCATGGGAGTTGTAGTTTCGGTGTTCCACGGGCCATTACCCGCGGTTGGCCAGACTCCCTGGCTGGACTATATGGTTCACGAGGCAGCCGTAGTCATGCGGGATCCAAAAAATGACTTGAGCATCCCAACCCCACCTAGAAAAATCATGGCACCCCACTGTGATCCCGGTAAGAACAGCCAGACTGGGTCAGACCAAAGCTCCACCCAGCCCAGGGTCCTGTCGGCCGACAGTGGCCAAAGCCAGGTGCCCCGATGTTGTCCTTAAATAAGTGACGGGGAGGGATCATGTGATGGTTCCCTGTTGTGTTCCGTCCCTCTGGGGCACCTGGCGTTGGCCACTGTCGTGGGACAGGACGCTGGGCTAGATGGACCTTTGGTCTAACCCAGTCTGGCCGCTCTTATGTTCTAGAGGCTAGGGACCCCATCCTTACCCATCCTGACTAATACATATTGGTGGACCTATCCTCCATGAATGTATCTAGCTCTTTTCTGAATCCCGTTAAAAGATCCTCTGGCAAGGAGTTCCACAGGTTGACTGTGCGCTGCATGAAGAAAAAACTTCCTTCTATTTGTTTTAAACCTGCTCCCTATTAATTTCATTTGGTGGCCCCCACTTCTTATGTTATGGGAACAACTACATAGCTTTTCCTGATTCAATTTCTCCATACCTGTCACGATTTTATAGACCCCTATCATATCCCCCCTTTAATCTCCTTTTCTAAGCTGAAAACTCCCAGTCTTTTTAATCCCTCTTCATACAGCAGCTGTTCAAACCTCTCACCATTTCTGTTGCCCTTTTCTGAACCTTTTCCAATGTCAAGAGGTCTTTTTGAGCTCGGTTTGGTGCCTAGGTTCCTCATGCAACGAATGTGGGGCACTGACATCTTAGAAAGTAATCTATCAAGCCAGCATGCTAAATGGGGAGCTGCCTCATGTAACCACTGAGAAATATTGTCCAGAGAGGGATGTGCTGAGTCACTTGCGATCCATCAGCAGATCCCAGACACTGGGAGTCCGGTGGCTTTGGGGCCTGAGACATTTCTTGCTGGAACGAATTAGGTGCCTGCTTTGCTACTGACTGGTTTTGTTGTCGCACAATTTGGTCAGCTAGTGTAAAAGATCCGGGGCCGCCCTTCTAGTCTCACCCAATCCAACAGGCTCTAAACGGTGCCCCTGTTCCCCACGTTCATTCCGAAGGCACGTGGACCCCCGAGACATTTCTGACTTTCCGGAGTGCGGTGAATTTGTATTGACTTTGAGCGAGGGAAGCACAGGCCCATCTCGGGAGCTCCAAATTGGACTGGGAGATAAGAACTCTCCTGAAATCTATATGCAATTAAAAGCCCTATCTCCCTGCCTTTAGTGACAAGGTTAGTGGCTTTGGGGCCTGAGACATTTGTTGCTGGAACGAATTAGGTGCCTGCTTTGCTACTGACTGGTTTTGTTGTCGCACAATTTGGTCAGCTAGTGTAAAAGATCCGGGGCCGCCCTTCTAGTCTCACCCAATCCAACAGGCTCTAAACGGTGCCCCTGTTCCCCACGTTCATTCCGAAGGCACGTGGACCCCCGAGACATTTCTGACTTTCCGGAGTGCGGTGAATTTGTATTGACTTTGAGCGAGGGAAGCACAGGCCCATCTCGGGAGCTCCAAATTGGACTGGGAGATA